TTGATATGTCGTTACTTTTTTCACATGTCGCTGTTTTGAATGTCGCTATTTTAATAAAGTCGCTGATTTGAATATCGCTATTTTGATGTATCGCTTTAAAAATATGTCGCCATTTTAATGTCACTATTTCAAATATCGCTCTTTTGAACCGGAGCCACTGAGAATGTCTTAATGTCTTGTATTTTGGAAAGTTGAGCGTTCTCATCCAATCGCGCTATATTCCAGTCGCGTTTTTGTTCCTCGCGCTTTTGTCCCACGCGCTTTTATCCAGTCGCGTTTTTGTCCATCGCTCTTCATTCTAGTCGTGTTTTTGTTCTGTCGCGCTTTTGTCCCTCGCGTTTTTGTTCCGTCGCGCTTTTGTCTCTCGAGTTTTTGTCCCTCGCACTTTTGTTCAGTCGCGTTTTTGTTCCACGCGCTTCTGTTCAGTCGCGTTTTTGTTCCGTCGCGCTTTTGTCCCTCGAGTTTTTGTCTCTCGCTCTTCTGTTTAGTCGCTTTCTTGTTCTGTCGCGCTTTCGTGCCTCGCGTTTTTGTCCCTCGCGCTTTTATCCAGTCGCGTTTTTGTTCCGTCGTGGTTTTGTCCCTCGCGCTTTTCGTATCGCGCTTTTCTCCCTCGCGCAAATGTCTGTCGCGCAAATGACACGGAGCCAAACATACGTATAATTGATTTGGCAACGTCTGAAATTTTAGAATGTTTGACACATTTTTGACGTGTTTTTGCCTTTTTGAATTAAATTTGAAGATTTGTGGATGTTTACGATAATGGTAAATTATGGAAGAAAGCCAGTGACAAAAATTAAAAGAAAAGGGGTGCGAATGCCAGTGAAAAGCAAAAGAAACTTTTGAAGTATGTGAAAAGCAAGCTACAGCTAATCCGGTTGATAGCTACCGCTTGCGAAAAATTTCAACGCATAATCAAGACCCATGAGTAAATAAATAACATTCATTTCCTTCTTTAGTCAAGACATCTAAACCTGTTGGTCGTTGTGCCAGACGTGTATGAGGTTCTAAACATTCAACCAAATATCTAACAATAGGGTACTTGCATGGAAAATTAAATTGATTATTGTTTATTGCAAACTGTAGGAAATCGAAAAAAAATTGTTACTTTTTTTTTAATTTCGCCCAAATATGATTATTCCAAAAGTTATTCAAATATTAAATTTTGTATATATGGATATACTGAGCATGTGCAACGTCACTAATTTATTAGATAAGTGACGTCATAGGCGGATTTCATAGTGTTGTATCTCCGTCAATTTTTGACTAAGAAGAAAAAGAAAAAACACCTGTTAACTTATTTTTCATGGACTATCGAAAGCAGCAATAAAAAAATTTGATGCAAGGAGCCTATTCCAACAAGCTCTTTCGACAATCAGAACATATTAATAGGGTGAACTTCGTTGACCAGTCAGAAACAACTACTCCGAGGGCAAATACCCCTACCGGCGTTGAACTACACTGATTGGTCTGAGCTTTCGTTGGCATGAAAATTGTTAGAGAGATTTTTTTTTTCAGGTATTTACCTGAAAAAAAAAAATCTCTCTAACAATATTAATAGGGTGTTTATTTGTAATTTGTACTGCTTTTCCTGCTTCAAGCAGATCTCAGCAGCAGATCAGCGTCCACCTGTCTCATATAAGCTCATAAATAGCAGCTCCTAGCAGATCTTCCTATTTTTTCCAGGTAGAACAAGCAACACCCTTTAATAAACTGTCTTAGGGCCGGTTTCTCAATAGCAAGTCACCCCCGGGTTAAGCCTAACTCCAGGGTAAACATTGCAACTGGACACGTTTAGCCTAGAGTTAAAACCAACCCGGAGGTGACTCGCTATTGAGAAACAGGCCCTTTGGTTTAGCTCTACGAATAGATCACGGCGGTTATGTCGATGGTTGCATCGATTTCGTATCTCTGCGCTTTCCAAATAACGAATTGCCAGCACATTGATCAAGTTTTCCATATTGTATGTGCATCTCTTCAAGAGTGTCAAAGTCACGAATTTTGCTCATATTGAAAAACCATACAATTTCAAATAGGTATAGCGCCTCCTATGCAAGGAAGGGGCCCTAAGTATGGAACCGAGGTCGACAAAAAGGTACGAAAAACACTCGATTCGTATAGCCAAGCGACTGCGAAACACTCTCTCTCTATTCGCCAAACACGAAACACGAACACACATTTTTTAATCCATTTTCGCACACAAAAAAGTCGATGAATTCGCGAGCTCGCCGGTTACCGGTTTCGAAATAAAAGCCGGTAGTGTTGTGCAACCGAAACAAGACCCGGGATCCCGGTATTAACAATTAACTTAGAACTAGAAGAACCCCAGAACCACAGGTAAGGCGCCTTTTATCATATTGTCTTTTGTATGGTTATTTTTTGCTACATATTCATTAGTTGCGCTTACAGTCCACGTAACTCCGAAGGTGATTCTAAAATATCAACCATTACGCCAACATTTTCTGTTCTTACGAGCCAAATTTGAACCTTTTTAGAATCAAAAATCATAATTAATATAATTATTAGCAAAAATCGCCATATAAAGCAAGTTTTTTATGTGCAGGTTTGTGCGCCTAAACTGTCGCCATCCATTATTCTCTATTTTTGAGGAATTTCAAGGCCACTGAAACCGGCTGTAAAACTTATCGCTGAGACACCTACCTATCAGTTAATAAAAATAAATTTATTTCATTTTCGCAAATAAACGGAAAAAAGAAATACATAGTTGTTTACTAAATAAAAAACCCAATTATTTCCGATAAGCATTGCAGTGCACAGATAGATACATTGGTGCTAATAATGAGATTGTAATGATTGTATTACTTAATTTCAAAATAATTTTTCGCTATATTTAATTTTATGATTTTCGCTTTTCGACGATTTACAGGTTTTACGTTACAGCCTGCAAATCCAGGTATATACCTTATTCTTAGGTATATACCCTATTTCATAGATTCTTCGCTTTGAAAAAGACTTTCTTAATTTTTTCAATTATTTTCTTGGCATTTCGATCAACATGCCGGAAACTGAGGCGGCAAATGCTCAAAATCGAGAATCGCCCTCTAGCGGCTAAACGGTTGAAGATATCAAAATGCGGTTTACACCAATCAGGATTTCATGAAATTTGATCCTCAGAGTGGGGATTCCATTTTTTTCTATCTCAAAAAATAAAGGGTGTTTCCATAAGAAAGTGTCCAATTTGGCCCACCCTGTACCTGTACCTAGAAACGGAATAAGTTAATCTAATATATAAAATTCTCATGTCACAGTTTTAGTTACCTTCGTCCTCCGAAACGGCTTCACCGATTTTTATGAATTTGTATGCGTATATTCGGTAGGTCTGAGAATAGGTTTTAGGCTATGTTTTATACCCCTAAGTGATAAGGGTGGTCCACCCCAAAATTTTTTAATTTTTTTTTGCTTCTCACCACTACATAACCCCAACTTATTTTTGTTTGTAACCGACGTCACAGTATTATCTTATAGCATGTTCGGCTTTACTGCTCCCAGAGCGCTCTCTATTTGGGCGGCGACGTCACAGATCTCTGCGGAAATGCTCCGAAAGCGATTATGATTCAAGCGAGGGCACCCTATTTGAAATCAATAGGCGAACGTACTTTAATTGTTTTGTTCTGATCAATCACTGATCTATCGAACACAAAACTCGAATTTGACGGAGCAAGGAATAGCGCTTCGTGCGAGATTTGAGAGCGTTTATTGCTCAAGTCGAACACGTGAATCCGTTTCGGATCGCTTTTTGATCAATAGGGAGCAGTTTTGAGACAAAAGTCGGAAGCATATGGAAAACGTGTAAAAATGTACCTCACAATAGTCATCAAATACGTTGTTTTCCATTTTTTATGATGGATGTCCATTTAAATCCTATATATTCATATTTAAAAGTAGCAAGGAGTAAGCCACAAAATTCCGGCGGGAGCTCTATTGTCGCCACTGAAGATAAGGCTTATTTAGTCACTGTTGTAATACCATTTTCACTGTAATACCATTCCGTATATGACGCTATCTAAGATACATGATAGAAACCTTCATTTAGTTTTCGATCCCGAAAAGGGAGAGTACAAATTTGTGTTATCTTATTATTAGGCAATCCGAATCACGTGATTCAATATGGCAGTGCAGGCCGACATTATTTTGTTTACATTTGATCATGTGTTAATTATGTGAATTATTATGAATTTGTGAATCAGTGTTTATTGACAATTCAGATGATTTTATTTATGTTCTTCACATTCTTTGAACATTTCTGTGCCTGAGTTTATTTATTTGGTGGTACACTTTACAAGAATAATGCCCACAAGGTGCCTAAAGAGAGATGTAAAATTTGGATTTTAGGTGATTTCTGATCCAGAGAGTAAACATTAATTTTCTTTAACCAAGGCCAAATTCACCATCGAAAAAAACTGAATTTAATTCAGTTACTAGATACGTTAACACAACATTTAATAGGTATTTAATAATTCAGAGGAGGTACGAAGTTTGCCGGGTCAGCTAGTATATCTATAAACATCTCATAAGGCAAAGCAACGGTGGTCGTGTGGAACCGAAAATTATTTTCGGTCGAACATTTGGTGGCTACCTAGGGTACAGTGTAAATTAATAAAACAACAAAAACACCTCAGGGTATTATAAGCGGGCGTTATAGATCATAACGCTGGCTGGGCTTATAATGCCCTCAGGTTGTTATAGGTATGTTAACTTATTTCGTTTCCTAGGTATCATGGATCTATGATAGCTAAGTAGAAAATAAATAATTTTCGGTCTGGTCAGGATTCGAACCCGGTCTACCATCAACGTTTCCCATATAGTCGAGCACGTTCACCCACACGACCACCGTTGCCTTTCGTTTATAATTTATACTATTGCATCTTGAGCTCGATTTACAGTTACTTGAAAACTCCACGCAAACTATTATTATCTCCCATAGGGCATTTTTGTTATTGAATCAGGATAATATCGTTACTTACTTATTCTAGAATTTTTAGGATTTAACTCAAACCATGATCCTAATTTGCGAAATCCTAACCGAAGAACCAGAAGGTGGTTCCGCAATGATACCGCTCGAAACATTTTTGGATCTTTATCAGTTCCTGGCCAAAATTGACGCTTCGCAAGATCAAAATTTGAGAAACTATTACTTCAGAGATAGTTTGCTTTCGTTATGGCGAGAAAAAATAGAGAAAAAAGAGAGCAAGGAAGAAATTGAGGATGAAGTGTTACAAGAAGACGTACGCAGGTAACAATAAAGGTAAAAAATTACGCCACACGGTGAATTTATATTTTTTCAGCCTTGCAACTAAATCATCTTCAGTAATTATGGACACTGGTGAAAAACTAGATGAAATCGAGCGGGTGGTTTCATGTCCAAGTTTGCCACAAGACGACCAATACTCTATTGGTAATTTGTCTTTTGTTTGATTTTCTACCAATACAAATTTGTCTGTTTAGATCATCTGATCATTGAAGAACCAGAAGATGTTGAAGAAGAAGAAAAAGTGACCGAAATAATCGATACAGCTCCAGAGACTTCTACATTTGAAGAATCTGAAGAAGTGAGGGAATATCAAGAGCCTCGAGAAGACATGCCAGAAATGAATATGTACCTACTAATCTTTTTCCATTTTATTTATTCATTAATCAATGATTATATTTTCAGTCCTGAGCAAGAAGGTGAAGAAACTGACGCACATTTAGATGAAGATGAAAATCGCAAGGAATTGGATAACCAGTTGGAAGGTATCGGCTGTTTCCTCTCAATTACTTTATTATTAGACATTTTCGACAGAAAGTTTAATGCAAATAGTACAAAATAATAGAAAGTTTTAATGAACATACAGGGTTTGTAAAGAAAGTGTGGAAAGTGAAGGTATATTTTTTTGAATAAAACGACCGATTATTATGCGTGCACTACGATAGTTCACCTTCTTCCACTCTGATTTCAAATCTAAATGATTAGGTACATAATATATAGGTTTATCTAAATTTTATGAAAGGATGGAACAGGTTCCAGCAGGATTGTATTTAAAAAAAATAAGTTGATGATGGTAGATCGAAACGTCAGATTTGAAATTTGAAAATGTCATCTTGTAGAGTAGAAAGAAAGAAAATTTTGTTTTTACCGGATATCTCCGAAAGTGTTAGGAATTTTTCAAATGTCAAAGTACCCACTATTTTATTGAGCGTCAAATTGCGCAACTTTTCCGTTATCTAATCAACATTGTAGCTGCAACCGTTCTGCAGATCCTAATGCTATCCCATCCTTATCTTGGACACACTGTATGAACAGGGTATATTTTTGCACCCCACAAACCTTTACCTTTACAGGTAGGATAGGTGTAAATACAAAAGATGTGCACTTTTAGGTAAATTTTTAGAATCCATCGTCAGAAACAAAAATTTATTATCAGAAATTTGAAATTTTGCGTACTTTCACCTCTTTTAAAATGAAATGCCCTATATTTGATTTCATATTCTTGAAGAGCACAATTTTCCGATTCCAAAAATATACAGGGTGAGTTACTAAGCGCGCGGTCATCCATATCTCCTATACTAACGGAGATAAAAAAAAAAAAAAAAAAACTAAATACGACACTTGTAGATAAACATAAGTACCGACTACATTCCTAAATTATTTTCCAGTATACACGGTCGCCCTATAACTAGTAGTGACACAAAGTTATGTTCTCTTAAATAACTCCCCCTGTACAGGGTGTCGCACTAAGATCGGCAAGGTACGATATCATGGAAACCATAGACTTTACGACTTCGAGATTTCTTTTTTCTTCACTAAATCGGCTAAGAGAAATTGATGGAAATTATTTTCAAGTTTCTAAGATGACCGCTAGGGGGCGCAATTACGATGAAATAACTAAAAATTCAAATTTTCTCAAGAAATCGCTATATTAAGATACTGTTTCAACAACAGAAATCAAAAGTTCATTAATTTTTGCGCCAGTTTGGTTATTAGGCTTTTTCCGTATTTTCACTAATAAGGGTGGGGGAAGCTGGTAAAAAAATAGTTTTAAAAATTGCTGTATCTTCCATACCCCTTATCCAAACTCATTCAATTTGGGCTTATTTAAAAGAGAATTTCATTGTTATTAAAAGCACCACTTCGTTCGGGGTCGGTAGTTCCCTCCGCGTCTTCTAGACAAAGATCCAGTTTTTTCTAGTGTCAAATGATAGTTTATGAAAAACTAAGATAGGAATGTAAAATCCGTCTTCTTGTAAAATTAACCGTTCAGGTTTTACAGTCTGTCAAAGATGCAAAAAAGTCAGTTTTCAACTGTCAATATTTCCGAAACAGTTGAAGATAGACATATGACATTGTACATGGAATATGTCTAGAATTTTTCGCAGAATCCAGAAATGTCATAATATATAGAGGGAGTCATTCAAAAAAACAAAACTTTGTGTCACTTCTAGCTATTAGGCCACCCTGTATACTGGAAAATAATTTAGGAATGTAGTACTCATGTTTACCTACAAGTTCTGTATTGCGTTTTTTCTTAGATCTCCGTTAGTATAGGAGATATGGACCACCGCGCGCTTAGTAACTCACCCTGTATAGTTTCTCTTTATTCGGTTAAGCCATCTCCAACATATTTGGCTGGTAAAAATAGGTAAAATTTGAGGCACAAGGTTTTTCTGATGGTATTTTTAAAATGTTTAGACCCAAATACCTTGGAGACGGCTCAACCAAATATAGACAAACTATATATTTTTGGAATCGGAAAATTATGCACTTCAAGAATATAGAATAAAATCTAGGGCATTTGTTTTAAATCGTTATCGATTTTTATGCCTAAAATAGAGCTTGGTTAGTACTTAGTCTCATGGTCACCCGGTAGCATTTTTGTATCGAGCGCCCAGTATACCGCATTCGGGTAACGTCGTATTAACCGAGGCCTGTCTCATAACGAGCGTCTGATTTCCCGATCGATTGTCAAGCTACCGTACGCTTGATACTAGTCTTCTGCGAAATTATGGATCGGCGTCCAACAATTCAGTTTTTTTTTTTTATTGTTTATCATTTATTATGCACTGGCCAGAAAATTATATGTACCACATTGTCGATTCCAGCGAAATACGAACTAATTTCAAGACTAAGCAGAAAGTGGAGGTAAAGGAATAAGTAAGAGCAAAATTATGTTTTATCTACATAACCTTACCATGAATAGAATACCATGGCGAGATAGAATAGGCCACTTTCACGTTTTTTCGAAAACATTTTTGAATTATTGTGTTAGCCATTCTTCCAATGACATTATCATCTGTATACTTTTTTCTCCAAAAAAAAACGCCTATTTTTTGAAATATGTTAGAACGATTTAAAAATCGAATTTTTAAAGCAGGTAAAAATTAACAAGATTTTTGCTATTTACTTAGGGATTTGTATACCTGCAATCGTTATTTGACAAATGCGGAGATTAGATTCGATTCAGGCAGATGTAAATAATTATTTATGATGCTGTCTCTAAGTAACAAAACTAACCAAAACTAACCCAAATTGGAACTGAGCAAAAGGTTAAGGTAAGGACAGCCTTAGGGTTAGTTTGGGATAGTTTGTTAGAGACAGCATCAAGTAACTAGGCAAATAGCAAAATCTTATTAATCTTTAAGTTTTTTGCTACTTTCCATTCCACTTAGTGAACTACTAGAATTAAAATTGCTTTACGATTTGACTACCAGAACCAAAATTAAACTAATACATATTATCAAGTAGCTTGATGGTGAGGAGCCAGGAAAACTCAAAAAGATATTCGAGACTGTAGGCGCGAGTCGCGAGTATCGAGCATACGGTAGTCCGAGTGATTTTCGTACTACCGTGCGCTTGATACGTGCCGAGGTCGGGTACCCCGAATGCAGGTTGCTGGACGCTCGATACAAAAATGCCACCCGGTACATTCAGGAGCCCTTGAAGAACTGGAAAAATCAGTTTTCTGGTATGGAAACAGAAGTAAGAGAACATTACTTGTTCACACTATCCTTATATCAGAAGCGTATAAAATCTCTAATGAAAAATAAAGATCCTCATTTAAAAAAATGAAGTTTGTGATGGTGGCCCAAAGACGAAACGTCAGATTTTAAATTTGAAGCTTGCATCTTGTAGGGGAGAAAAAGTGGCTATGATGAAGTGACATTTTTTTAAAAATTATCACTAAATAAAGTCAAGAAAAAATAGAAACAATTTTACAAAACCTCGGGTTTTTCCGGAAGTACCTATTCGGAATATCCTTAACGTCAAGCATCAGCAAAGACCCCAATTTAACCAACCCTGTATCTCTCACCGTTTCCGAGATCCCAATGATGTGGCTCGAATTTGAAACACCCTGTACCAGGTGTCCGACTAAGGCCGGCCAGGTACGATATTATGGAAACCATAGACCTTACGGCTTCGGGATTTTTTTCTTCTTCACTAAATCGTCCAAGAGAAATTGATGGAAATTATTTTCAAGTTTCTAGGATGACCGCTAGGGGGCGCAATTACGATGATATAGCTAAAAATTCAACTTTTCTCAAGAAATCGCTATATTAAGATACTGTTTTAACAACGGAACTCAAAAGTTCATTAATTTTTGCCCCAGTTTGGTTATTAGGCTTTTTTTCGGATCTTCAGTAATAAGGGTGGGGGAAGCTGGTGAAATTTTTTTTTAGAAATTGCTGTATGTTCCATACCCCTCATTCAAACTCATTCAATTTGGGTTTATTTGGAAGAGAATTTCATTGTTATTAAAAACACCACTTCGTTCGAGGTCGATAGTTCCCACCGCGTCTGCTAGAGAGCGCTGTTTATTCAAGATCCAGTTTTTCCTAATTTTGATGAAAAATCCAAATGGCATAATATTATTTTTGTAGTGCCGTGCTTAAAGAGCAAAAAAATATCTACATTTTGGCGCAAACCACAATTCAATATCTGCATTCGTTTTCAAGTTACGTGAGGTCTATGGTCTCCATAATATCGTACCTGGCCGACCTTATATTAGTGGGACACCCGGTATAGTCGAAATCGACATTGCACGCAGGCTCTAGCTAAAAACATCGAATCGAATATAATAGAATTTCAGGATAAAGCACACTGCCCGACGTAAACAAGTGCATAATTTAATTTTCTTGGAATCCCGGGGCCGCGATGTCGATGCATCTCGTAGCAGGAAGGGTATCCTCCTAAATAAGATCGTCCCGATCTGACCATTTCTTCTCGTGATAAGCCTTACCTTCATCTCACCTTTGCAGCCGCGTCGTTTGGTCTCTTTATAATCATGTATGGGCCTTCCCATACTGGTGTTAGCTTGGGAGATCTACCCTCTCTCTTCGAGGGTTATAAAGCCAAAGTTTGTCATTCGCCTGGAAACCTGTGGAGTTCGCCTTAAGTCATATCTGATTTTCATTCGATCACTTGCGAACTATGTTCTTCCTCTAACTATCCCATGGATGTCGAGCAGTCTTTTTCGCAGATCGTCAACATAGCTGGTGTAACTCCTCTTGTGTTATGTACGGCTGACGTATCATCAGAAATAGAGGTATATGCTCCTAATCATCCTGATGCTTGTCAACTACTGTGGAGAGATGTTCCACGATTGTCTTGTTCAATCTCTGAACCATGCCATCTGATTGTGGATGCAATGCCGTGGTTCTGGTCTTGTGAATGCCTCGGTTCACGAATGAGTTTTTGAAAAAGTCAATACTGCCCCTTGAATTCTATCCAATGATTTTATCCAACTATAGTAATATTC